CTCTGGTAGCCCCTCTCATCCCTCAAAGCACCTCCTCATTGATGGACTCCTCATAGCGCCAGCAAGGCATTGCATCCAGCATTCCCAGGGGTGACATGCCGTGCTACAGGTCCTGTGAGACAAGATGACAGGAAACACTCAGATTATACCGGGTCAAGGGATGGAGGAGCTTTGTGAAGGCCTTCATGAAATAGAAGCCTCTGCTTTTCATTGTGGCTTCAGTTTCATCAGTGCCTGTCAACACTTACTGTACATTTGCCCTGAGCCAGAAACCACACCTCTCGTGAGGTGTGGATTTGCCCTTTGGCCTCCAAATGCCTGGAGGACACACACAGGAATGAGTGATCAGTGTGGGGTGGCAAGTTCCACTGCCCAGAGCTGGGCCATTACAGCCTGCCAATCAGTCCCGGAAGTGTTCCTCAGGGAGATGGCGAGCTGGGAAAGACAGGCTTATATCATACGGGTAGGAAAGTGTGTGTGGTTGTGAGGCAGGGCAGTACTGTCCTGGTGTCACGACAGGGTTTTATATGGTGTGAAGACCATATCCACCCATTACTTCATTTGGTATCGACACGATACCAGTGAAGAAGTTCACAGATCAGTTTCCTCTTAGATTTCCTAACCTTCTAGAGACTGAGATGGAAAATGTCCCCCATCACTACAGTGAGAGAATCAGGGACCTCACCTAACACAATTGTTGAAGCACTGTTCTGTGTGGCTGGCATCTCTATCTGTACTCCCTTTCAGTCTTTCAAGTAACTTGTAATACAGATAAGATCTCCTCTATTTTAGAGATCAGATTTGACTTCACCAACACTGGCACACACAATGGCCCAAGCAACAACCAAACATTTTAAACACTTTTGAATCAAGAATACAGTAACTAATAGTCTTTCCAAAATAGGGCTGGGGGGCTGGGGGGTTAGCTCAGCGGCATAAGTGCCTGCCTTGCAAGTGTGTGGTCGTGAGTTCAATCCCTGGTACTGATAAAAAGGAAAAAGACAAAAAAAAAAAAAAAAATAAGGCTGGGGATCAAATCTTTGATAAGTATCTCTACAAAGTGTGATCCAAAACACAGTGCCTGTGGCCACACAGTGCTATCCAGAAGGAAGGCAGCTCACAGAGACATCAGGGTCTCCTCATCACATTACTCCCCAGCGCTGTCACTAGCAATCTCTGGGTTCTTTCCCAAGTCAAAAAGACCATGAAAAGTAAAGATTTTGAATTAATGCAAGACGTTAAGGCAGCCACAACAGTGTGATTTAAGACACTCACAAAAAAACACTTCCAGGGGCCAGAGATTTAGCTCAGTGGCACAAGCACCTGTTTGACAAGTGCGAGGTCGTGAGTTTAATTCCTGGTACCAAAACAAACAAAACAAAACCTTCCAGAACTGTTTCAGAAAGTGTCAAGAGTGATAGGATAAGAGTGTTGGAAATGAGGGAAGTACTCTGAGGGGAATTAATGGCCATTTGTCTTTTACTCTATAAATTTTTTAATTTAAGCATTCACCAGTGTTTGATACTACCAGGTATATGTGAGAGAAGTTGATAAATTGCAATATCCTATTAAATGTCAGGTATTATGGTGATTATTTTTATTAAAGCTAGTTCATCATAGGTACACTATAAAAATACTTCTCCAGTTCATGTGTTTCTGTGCCTGTGGGGACTGGGATGGCAGGGAGTCAGATTAGATGTCTCACTGCCACCCACCCCCAGCTACTCACGCCTCAACAGACTTCCCAGCTTTTCAATTCTGTGAAGAGATTGTGACCGAAACTTTAGGGAAGGACTCATGGTGGTGAGAAGAGGGAGAGGTGTATACTTTTTGTTGGAAAGAAAATCATTACCAGGTACAGGGCACACACCTGTAATCTGAGCACTTAGGAGGCCGAGCAGGAGGATCACATGAGTTCAAGGCTAACCTAGGCTGCATAAGTTCAAGGCCAGCTTGCACAACATAGTGAGACCTCGTCTCAAGAAAGGAAGCAAGGAAGAAAGAAAGAAACAAAGAAAGAAAGAAAAGAAAAGAAAAAAATTCCCCTTACTATTACTTTTCTGGGTTCTTGGGTAACCTGATGAAATTATTTTTATGGAAAGGTTAACAAATAGATATACAAAGAATTAAAATGTGTTATATACTTATACTAACTCCCCATAATTAATGTAACAATTATGTACTACAAACGTACTAAAGTTTTTTGGCTTTTTTTTTTTTTTTTTTTTTTTTTTTTTTTACTGGTACCAGGGATTGAACTCACGACCACGCACTTGCAAGGCAGGCACTTATGCCACTGAGCAAAATCCCCAACCCTAATATTAAAAATTTTTTAAAGGTTAAAATTCAATATGAGCCAGGTGTGATACAGCACATCTGTGATCCCAGCACTCAGCAGGCTAAGGCAGGAGATTCGCTATAAATTCAAGGCTATCGGGGCTACATAGTGAGATCAAGGCCAGCCTGAACTATATATATAGTAAGACCATGTCTCAACCAAATAAACAAACAAATATTCAGTAAGTAATCCTTTTTCCAAAAATTCTATAGACTAGACTGCAGTGCTGTCCAATAGAACTATAATGTGAGTTGTAAACAGAATTTTAAATTGTCTTATAACCACATTCAAAAAGTTAAAAAAAAAAAAAAAAAAGGCCGGGCGTGGTGGCTCATGCCTGTAATCCCAGCACTCGGGAGGCTGAGGCAGGAGGATCCCTGCAAGTTCGAGACGTGGGCTACAAAGTGAGTTCAATGCCAGCCTGAACTGCATAGAGACGCTGTCTCAAAAAGACAAAAAAAAAAGTTAAAAAAAAAATAAAGCTGAGCATAGTGATACACACCTGTAGTCCTAGCACGTAGGAGGCTGAAGCAGGAGGATTGTAATGAGTTAGAGGCCAGTCCAGCCCAAACTACACAGTGAGATCCTGTCTCAGAAACAGAAAAACAAACAAATAAAAAAAGTTTTAAAAGTACAATTAGTTTTTTTTTCTAAAATGTAAGTGTTGAAGTGCAATTAATTTTAATATTGCATTTTACTTGCATTATATCTAAACTGTTACCAACTCAACATATAATCAATATAAAACTTACTAATGGGAGATTGTCCTTTTCTTCATTATAAACTTTCAAAATGTGTGGCTGACTTCTAGGTCATCTTCATGTGGATCAGGCCCATATCAGGTGCTCTGTAGCCACAAAGCTACATGAATCGCCATATTCTAGGACCAGAACTTCACAAGGCTTGATGAAAGTCCCTTTGGCTCGAAAGAGTAAAACATGACTGGAATCCAGCTTGTTTCTTAAAGGGTACTGAATTCATTCAGCCATTCATTCACCAAGTATCTGTGGAGTACCCACTCTGCCCTGAGTGACAGGGCAAGTCACTTCCCTGCTCAGGGTCTCCACTCTGTATCACCTGGGAGAAGAGTAAGATACTCATTGAGGAAGAAGAAAAAGGTTTGCAGCAGCCAGAGGAAAATGGCTCTGGAAATCATTAGCTTACTGGCAGAGTCTTGACAACCTCCCAGCACCAATCACTTTCATTGATTGTGTGGATGGAGCTCTCACAATGTATTACTAATGTCAAAACCAACCAACCCTGCAGGATTTTGCTAGAGGAATTCATCACACAAACCTTGGCCACCGAAACAGTGATTATCATGCTCGTGGTGTTTCCCTGAACTTGATTTCTCCACCAGCATTTAATCTGCCATCCTCTTAGGGAGGTTCTAAGGAGGAACTAATAAAACTCATCATAAATCCCCAGAGCTTTATTTGCTCTAAGTAATTGTTGCCATCCATCAGTAGGTTTAACTGTGGGAAGATGTCTGGGAGGTGTTGCAAGGAGTGGCACCATGGCTTCACACTGTCATTAGGCTCAGAAATAGAGTTACATTCACCATCTCACAGGTGGCCCTGATGTAGGATGACTGCAGTTGAAACACAAAGAGAAAATGGATTGACACTTGCTAGGAACTGAGGGACATTTGCCACTCCACACAACTGGACTATGAGGAGAAATAGTTTTCTATTTCTGTGCTGGGAAAATGATTCTACACAGATATTTAAGAGGAGAGAAAATGACTGGGAAAACAGAAGTGTTAGAAACTTATTAAGTAGATAATGATCAGAATATCAGGTATTATCGCTTCTGGTTACAGCCCAAACCAGGCACTAGTAATTGTCATGCACAGAAACAAAAGAGACATTGCAATTGCTAATGCAAATTCAGGTGACAAGCAACATTAGCATATGGCCTTTAGCTTTCCAAAGTGCTTTTAGAACATTGCTTCCATGGAACTCTGGTAAACAGGCTGTGGATTATGACACTCAGTTTACAGAAAATGTGAGGGAGGCTGATCAGTTAAGTAACCAGATGAATGTTATGGCACTAATGAATGGCAAAGATAACTATACAAATGCATGTTTGTGTGTGTTTATCTTCAACCCATCCTCCAGCTTCCAGTACTTCCTCCAAATAGAAAATTAGCCCTGATGTTTTATACATCTTTAAGCAAGTGTGGAGCTCCTTAGAGGGTTGCGTGTCTAGCAGTTACACAGACTTCTGGTTAATTCAAGCACAGAAGGAGTTAACTGCCCTCCATCCTCCATCCTTACCTAAATACATATACTTTTTATTATAGAGATAGAAGACTATAGAAATAGAAGACAAATGCTGTCCTTACCCCAAAGAAACATCTGGTGTTGTAATCCTAGTCCTTACCACTACTTTACCAAGATTCACACTGATATGTGTTCAGTAGAACCATGCCTGAGATTTTTGTTTGGTTGGTTGGTTGAGAAAACCAGGTACCCCAGGCTGGCTTCCAACTTGCAGTGATCCTCCTGCCTCAGCTTCTTGAGTGCTGAGATTATAGACCTGTGCCACCATACCTCGCTGGAATTTTTTATCTTTTCTGGGCTAAAAATATTGCTAATACTTTCCCTCTCTCTCTCTCTCTCCCTCCCTCCCTCCCTTTTTCTCTCTCTTTCTCTCCAAGACAGCACCAGCTAATCTGTTTCCAGTCAGCCCTACAATCACAAGAGGAAACAGTTGGTGCTCCACAGTGTACGTGTTGCTAAACTAGAATGTTCATGCAGGTAAGTCCATTCAATGCATTTTTGACTCATGATGTTGTCAATTTACAATAAGTGTATTGACATGTAACCTCATTGTAAGTCAAGGGGCATCTGTATTTTAGTACTATCAGACAGAAAAGAAGTGGAATCATTGCTAAGAAACACTTCCCTAGAACTGGACATAATAGACTCTGTTAGGAAATTAAAAAGTATGCTAGATTCCATACTATATGTAACAACTCTTGCTTTTTACAGTGCACCTCATAGTTTATAAAACATTTTCAGAGACATAGCTTCAACCAACCCATTGAACAATTCCATAACGTAAAAAAGTCTTGCATACCATACTTTGTGCACTGTAAGCAATCAAATATTTGTGAGGCAAGTAAACAAATTAATCTCCATTTTACAGCTAAGAACACTAAGTTCCAAAGCCTTGAGCTATCTGTCTTAGTGAAATCAACAAGATGAAACCCATATTTTCTGAGTTCAAGTCTGATCACGTTTCTAAATTTTTCCTTGAGATCTGGTTTTGGGACAAGTACCATGAAATATTACTAGGGAAAATAGTCAAATTTTCCCTGCATGGTGTGCCATGACATAGGAATTTGGGGGTATCCAAGTACATGCCCAATCATTCCCAATCACTTACATTGCTATAAATTAAATCATTATTCTGTTTCTCTGGAAGAGCCATAAAAACACCAAATTAGCATTCTACTTCCCAAGCAGCCCAAGGCAGGGTGAGATGGCAGTGAACAGGAGCCAAATTTCTAATTATCTCATTAGGATCTCTAAGCCAAATAGTTATTCCATAAGCCAATGATTACAAATGTAGAGTAATACCAAGGAAAATGGAAAAACACATGATGAAAATACCCCAAAGAAACATCTGGTGTTGTAATCCTAGTTCACAGACCAGGTGTCTCAACAGAGAAGAGATCTTACTTATTGCTGGAATTTGAAGACTGAAAAGAGAAAACATAATAGTAATAAATGGCTTCAAAGGTACTTATTATTACAACTCCAAGAAGAAATGAATGGCAATTAGTGGGGAAGAAAATGATGCAGAGGTGTCTAGGAAACTATTCCATTACTACCTTTCAGAAAGATTCTAGCCCACTGCACAACCTCTACCATGAAAGGCAAGCAACTTCTTATGGGGCATTTTCCAGAACTCAAGTTTCCAAATTGCAAAAGTTCTTAAACTGATCATCTGGTGTAATAACGCAGGCCAACCTAATCTGCCAACTCTCCTCATTTTTGCCACTGTCATGGAGCATCCTTTTTTTCTTCAGGGCTAGACAAATTCACCACCATGGGAGTATCACTTCCCTGTATTCAAGTACTAGAAAGTCTTGCCCTTATGCTGAGGCCAAGCCAACAATCCAGGTATTTCTACATTGGAACTTCTCCAAACAAAGCAAATTCTTCGGTGTGACACTTCATCAATTACTAATCATGATGCTTCTGTCCCCATCAGCTAAACATCTCCAGTCAGAAGGAAGTCACTTACAGCACTCCCCAAAAGATCTAGGTTTCCGGATATGTCACCATGAGAGCCATCTTTCTGGCCAAGTTTCAGGACTGAAAGTTGGATATTGGGCTCTGAGAAACTCTGAACTGCAGAGGGCCCATCTTTTAGGGTAGTTTCACAACCCTTCCCTGCCCTCGAAGTGGAAGGATGGTCTCTGATCTCAGGGCCAAATGCTGGAGAATTGCTCGGGCACCTGGCCAGGTCCCTGGGCTAAGTTGTTAAGGCAACTGGCAGCAGCATTTCCATAGCTTAACAACTTAAACTGTTGGGCCAGACCCTGCCTCCTTTGTACCTAAGGACCCCCAAAGAGCACAAAGGGCACCCTCTCTAGAACCCTTCTAGAGTAGCTGGCTCTCCCTCCCTGCGGGTTGGGCAGCAACCCCATCAGGCCCACTTCTACCCCAGCAAGTTTGTTGTACTTTGTACTCTGCCTGCGGCAGGTCCCACTCATCTTGAGTCTCTTCAACACAAGGCTCCAACCTCCAGAGAGAAGATGTGCCCAGTAAATGGCCAGGTATTAAAAGCCTGACAGGACAGAGCAGGACATTGAAGGGCATTCAGTATCTGCAGTGCTGTGATGCTAACCCCACCTCCCTCCCACAGAGCATTTGCAAAACTTTGGAGCTGAAAAAAACATCCTAAACCTAACCTCTTTCTTCTCCTGGATGAAGAATCAGGCCCAGAGAAAGACTGTGGCTTGTTCAAGGGCATATGGTGGCACAGAGGTGTAAGCATTCGGCCTTGTTTCCTGTAACCCACTGTAAAGGCAGGAAAACACAGGGTGTGTCCCCTCTTCTCCCACTTTGACTCCTTTAATGGGTGTGATATATTGAACATTAACTGTGGGCTGATAGCAGAGCAGGGACATGACAGACCTGCAGTGCTGCTCTTCCAAGTGTCACTTCCATTTATAACGCTGTCTGACTTAGCCAGGCATGTGATCCCTTGTGTTTTGTGATGGTTCTGGGGTCAGACACTTGTGTAGCCTCCATTGCAGAAGGATTTCATGCAATGTTAACAGAAATAAAAAGAATCTCTGCCTGTGCCATCCACTTTTATCACTGTTACAAGACAAAAGATTTGAGGGATGCTACTGGACATGGAGCTAGGTAATGTCTGCTATTTATAACAGGTGTGTGGGTAAGAGAGCAGGTGCTCCAGATTCGCAGGAAATGCCTCACAGGAGTGAGGGTCTTCACCTGATCACTCTGCACAGAGGGCCTCTCCCGCCCCAGGCCAGGGCCCCATTAGTGCCACCACCACCCTGCTGAGAGGTTGCCTCTCCACCACCTCAAGTCTTGTTTACCTCCAAACCTAGCTGGTGGTGGATGGTAAATTCATTCTCAGTGATTGAGGTACTGGGCAGTCTACTGAGACAGGCCAGGAGTGAGGCTGTGGCATGTGGATATTCTTCAGCTTGTCATATTGCTTAGGCAAGCATCCTGTTTTCCTCTCCAAACTTAAAATAAAGCAGTCTGGTAGATGAGTATATTACAGACTGATCTATAAACACTGCTTTCTTGAATATTTATAGTCTCCCTGGGTGATTTGGTGATGGACACACTACAGCTCCCTTTGGAGGTTAACATGCATATTGTGATATTAAAGACTTTGAAAAGTCTTGCAATAAAAGCATCTATTTAATTTTATTTAACCAAGCTCCTTCAAAATCTTTTGGCCACCTCTTCCTCATATCTGAGGAACTGGAGTTCTGAAACATACAAGCTGGAGAGTACTGAAAGAGGTGACTTCTGAACCTCCTTGTAATCTCCCGTATCTCATCTAGAGAGGAGGAAGCATGGGAAAGTGGAGTGTGCAGACTATGTAATCAGATAGGAATGGATTCAAGTCTTGGATTTGCCTGTTAGTTGCATGTGGCCTTAAGCAATTTCCTCAAGTTTCATCATGTGGATTTTCTCATCTGGAGAAACAGCCTCATAATACCTGTTCATTGTGGTAGGTTGTTGAGAGTAGTCAGTCAGATTAAGTTGTGAAGTGACCAGAACAGTCTTTGGAACATGATAGGCCCACAACAAACATTAGTACCTCTTCTCACTTCCCCTATTCCCTTCTTCTACCTCCAAAACCCAGAGCCGGCCCTTAACAAGGCAGAGAATATAGCAGAGGGAAGGCTAAGCCTAAGGCCTCACATGGCCCCATCTAGGCTCTCAGTTTTATGGGAGGACCATACTCAGCAGGCCCCTTGTAGGGAGAAAAACTAAGGTGAAGAGGCCTCGGGATATAGCAGAGAATCCACTTCTTTGCCAAGCAAGTGGGTCCTTCCTGTGCCAGGCAATTAGGTGGTGTTGGTGAAAAGAGGAGATAAAAGGATGCTTTGAGGTTGTTTTAGAAGAAATGCCACTCTCCTAAATCCACTACTTAAAACTGCAAACCCATCCTCAAGGCCCCATGTGTGGGCAAAACCTTTTGCTGGCACAAGCTGGAACCTGAGTGATGGCAAGGAGAAAGGCTGGGGGACCAAACTGAAAGGGTGAGACTCAGAGACCCCTCAGGAGCGTTGGCACTGCCATGGCAGTGGCAGAAGCTGCCTCCGAAGCACAGTCACCCACTGACAACACAGATCAAGTACCGGGTTTGCACCAGACACAGCTTGACTCTTGGAAAGAAAAGGAGGAGTCTGCTGGGGAGGGAAAATGGACCTGAGGCTTGGCTCCGAGAGACTAAACAAATGAGTTGGATGAAAGGCATTTATTCTGTGGACTAATCCCACTTTTGTGTGGCCTTTTCCTGCCCCCTTTTCACTGTAGGACAGAGTCAGAAGATAGAGCATAGCTTTGGAGACAAAAGTGGTTTCGAGTGTCACTCTGCCTTTGCTGGTTTTGTGATCTTGGGCAAGTTTCTTAACCTCTTTGAACTATAGTTTCTTTGTGGGTACGGTAAAAATAATAATCCCTACTTCACAAAGCAGTGTTTTTTTTTAATGGAAAAAAGTAAAACAAAATTTTATAACAAGATGGGAGAATAATGATGGTTAACACACTGCATATTATTAACTTTAAAGTAATTACCTAGAGTACAAGATATGGGCATAAAATATTCTCATTAATATTAACACAAACTTTCTATAGTATAACTAACTTGCATTTTACAGAGCAGTTCTGAGGACCCAGTAAGCTACTGATGGACCCCAAAGTATAGCACATCTAACCCTGTCATGGGAATGAACACTTTTTAATTCTCATAGCTACTTGTTCATTTTCATGTAATATACCAAACTCTTTTATGGATGTCATTGATTAGTACAAGAGTAAAATCAGTATACAAGCTAGAGGGGGAAAAAGGGAGGGTTGATTTTTTTTCTCACTGCTGTGTACTGAGCCTAGAACCCTTCCACTGAGCTCCCTTCCCAGCACTGTTTTACTTTTGAGACAAGTTCTCACTAAGTCTCTAAGTGGCCCAGGATGAGTCTGAACTTGTGATCATTCTGACTCAGCGTCCCAGAGTGCTGGGATTCTAGGCATCCATACCACAGTTGTCTAAAAGGGGTTGAACCAAAGGAAAATATTTAGTAAACTATTGTATAACGAGTATGCACAAAATGGCAAAAGTTGTGAAGATCCTACTGAAAAGGTCTGAGAAACTGAATTAATACTGAACCAAGTATGGGGCTGGCACATGGCAGGACCTGAAGGTCGTTTCTCCTTCCTGCCCTTTTCTTTTTGGGAAAGGAAGAGAAAAGAGGAGGGAGGAAACAAACTACATCCTTTACCTCCTCGACAGATGTCTATTCCAGGCCTTCCCTTCATATCCAGAGCTTCCCTGTTGTGCCATGTTGTCTCCATTTCCCCCCGAGCTGCAGGGCTCAGCTGTCCACCAGAGCGTTCTTCTTGCCTTTAGTCCTCTGAAACACGCAGGCATCAGAAGCACTAAGGACTACGCCAACTCCTCACCCTCCACACTCCAGCATGACTTCCAGAGCTTCTCAGGAAGTAAACACTTCAACAGATGAGGGCAAGGATGAGGTACTTAAGGAAGGAGAGAAGAAAAGAACTGAGGAGAGAAAGGGTGCTGGATTAGCCTAGTCAGACTCTGACTCTTAAATTTTGTGACCATCATGAGATGCCTTCATGTTTCCTAAATGTGCTTGTCTTTTTTCTCTCAAGGAAGTGAAAATTCAGAAAGAAAAAATGACTTGTCTAAGACAGCAATGAGTATCCAAACTTGGAGGTCTCTATTCTTAGTCTTTGCTTTCTGTCACAGTAAGGAGTCAGGGCTTTGCAGCTCCAGGAAAACAAAAGGAAATCTCTTTTAAAATAGGCTCAGCTGTTAAAAACAAAAGAAACGCAAAATCTATAGGGCTAAATAGCTCTAAAATTTGGACCTTGTCAGGTCAGGACGCAGTCAAGACAAGCACTATAGTCTTCGAGTCCGTATCCTTTCTCTGCCTTCTTAGCTGAAGAATCCCAGTTTTTCACAGGATGGCAATATGTCCAATTCAAAACTATTTTCCAGCTTCCCTTGAAGCTAGAGGGAGAAGCATCTTGCAATTCTGAGCACACTGAGTCGACAGCAGAATTTATTAAGATGGACTCCTGTGAAGTTCCTTAAGTAAGCTCTAATAAGTTGGCCCTTCTGCCTTCTGGCCAGTGTTTTACCCCCAAGATATGACAGCCATCTGTGAGCTGGAAGCCAGACAGGGCCATAGTTGAGGAAAGCACTGATAAGAGCTGGACGGATCTACATGACTCTGTACCAGCCCTGGGCATGTACCCAGACTTATCACCCAGTAAGATAAATATCTTTGTGTGATTAATCCACCATTCCTCAGGTCTCTTGTGACATGCAGTCAAATAAAATTCCTAATTTAATATGTATTCAGTAAAATGACAGAAAGAGAGAGAGAGGGAGAGAGAAATAAGTGGAAGTAGCCATGCTCACTGACAGTCTCTGCACATGCAAGATGTTCCCAAGTAGGGTGTAGAACATGAAATGGTGTAAAAGCTGAAGACAAGGTTGAGGCTTCTGATTTAGATTTAGATAAAAATCTGCTTTAGATTTAGATAAAAATCTGCTTTAGATTTAGATAAAAATCTGCTTTAGATTTAGATAAAAATCTGCTTTAGATTTAGATAAAAATCTGCTTTTCCCAAGTGAGACAGAGGCAGGGCTTTGGCTAGAACCTAAGTCTTCAGGCATCACAAACATAGAGGTCCAATTTGACCTGGGATGTAAATGTTGAGGACAGAGAATCTGGAAGCCAGAGGAAGTTCTCCCAGCCACTTTTCTGCCAGGCAGAAGGTCAAGAAAGTGTTTGAGTCTGTCTTCGTTACTTTTCTCTCATTGATGAGATGAAATTCCTAACACCCAAGGTTAAAGGAGGAAATGTGTATTTATCTCACAATTTGTAGAGGTTTCTGTCCATAATTGGCTGGCTGCACAGTAGGGTGGCTTGGAAGAGGAGAGCCAGTCATGATGGGCAGAAAGCAGCAAAGCAACAAGCAAGAGAGAAAAGACTCTTTGTCCTTTATGTATTGTTTTTAGACTGCTGAGATTAGAGTGGTGCCAAACCAATCAGTGCACTGATCTAGGAATCGCATAGTTGTAGCCCCAGCATCTCACATTCTAGATTCAGCCACCTCTAAAGAACAGTAACACGGCATAAGGCTTTAGGGAGACATCTAGACACAAACCATAACAGGGCCTACTGGAAACAGACAAGAAATTGTTTTTGTTCATGCTATGCTTGACTGAAAGGAAGAATCCCACTTCTCATATCCCTGTGCTTGGCCCTATATTATATTGCTATGTCACAAAGAGTGAGTCTCATTTGGACTTTCCAGATTCCTTTCGTTCCAGCAAGTTGAGCAAAGCGGTTTCCCAGAACATCACCCCACTTCCTATTATCCACATTGTCTTCTAGTAAACAGAGTTGCAATCTCATTTGCAAATGACTCCTCCATCTTAAACTCATTAGCATCCATCCGTGCTGTGAAAGCCCATGGTATGCCAGGACAAGCCTTCACTTCGGACATTTAAAGCTTTGTTTATTATGGATGCATGAAACTGATATTTGAAGCCTGCTGCTTGGAAAATTTTTGCTTTGTCCTTGGGAATTAAAGAACCTTTATTATTAGGTCAATGTGATGAAGGCTAAAATTCTCAGTTAAATCCAAACAATAGCCAGTAAATTCTCAAACTATAAAATAATACACTAATTAAAATCTCTAGTGCTGAATTCTTTCAGTGACACAAGGTCAAATTAGAAAGGAAAATGCACCTTTTGCACTTATTCATGACTACTGTCCTTGAAAAGGAACGAAAGAGCTTGGTGAGTAAGCACGATGGTAGATGTTGGTCTGGTAGGCGGCTAATGGGGAGAGCTGGCTGTACCCCATCGGTGAGCCTCTCCCTGCGTGTACATTCACTGTGCTTCTTTCTTTCTTCTGCCTGACAAGCATGACCTGTCCTCCACTGTTGCTTGTTCATATCTGTCTTTTTTTTTTAACTTTTTATCAGTACCAGGGATTGAACTCACGACCGCCTGCTTGCAGGGCAGGTGCTTATGCTGCTGAGCTAAATCTCCAGCCCCTCATATCTGTCTTTTAAGGCGTGCTCTGAATGTTTTCTCTTCCACGAATCTTCTCAACTTGGTAGAAAACCTACTGAGCCCTCTTGCATATTTTAGTTCTCTACATTCTGCTCTCCTCTCCTCTTGTTGTCAGTTCATTAAAGGAAAGACTATTTTATTAATTCATTTTTAGAAAAAGAAAAAAGAAATTTACTTTTCTTTCTTGTTACATACTTTTTGCATATCCATTATACACATAGGAAAATACAGCAAAACCAAATCAGAGAATACATTTGTGTTTTGTTGTACAATATCTTAGGATTTTAAAAACTCTTATGTTATAAAGATATATCAAAATTGGATCACATTGTATTATGTATGAAATTTTAAAATCTACTTTTTATATTACAATATGTCTTTAATACCTTTCTAATCCAATATGGTTATATTTTCCTTTACTTTTTTTTTTTTGTCTTTTTCCTTTTTATCGGTACCAGGGACCGAACTCACGACTGCCTGCTTGCAAGGCAGGCACTTATGCTGCTGAGCTAAATCCCCAGCCCCAATATGGTTATATTTTAAATTAAAATGTTGCTCTTTTTAAAAAATGTGCTTATCACAAAAATTGAAAGGAAATGTGAAATATATGAAAAGTCAAATAAAAATTTTTTTAATTTCACATTACAGCATGTAGTCTTTCATATTTTTTCTGAGATCAAGTGTGTGTTTTTTGTGTATCATGTTTAATATATATTTATGTAAATATGTGCATTCACCCATAGTTGTAGTTTTTACTTAATATAGTATATTGTTAATATCTTTAAGTCAAATAATTAAGATATCTATATCATCCTTTTTAGTATCTGTGTAGGTAGTATGTGGATCTGCTGCAATATCTATAACAAAGCATTTACATTTTCCAGAAATGCTTAACAAATTTTATGCATCATCCAAATATATGTGTTGATATATTTATGCACCTTTACAGATTTTAACACAAATTACTCTCCATGAAATGTGTTCAGCTTTTAATTTTACAAATTTTTCAGAGGGCCTTGCCCACAATGACAACATAGCTATTAGATGAATGAAAGAGATTCAGAGACAATTACTTTCCCATCCCTCTAATCATTCTTTTTTCTTTTTTCTTTTTTTATTTTAAAGAGAATAAAACCAAGCAAAATAAAACAGCAAAAGCCAATAGAACCAAAACCATGTGACACAGGACTTCAAAACAATATGAAAGCAACAATGGTTACCATAATGCCTCTTGTTGTCTTTAAAATAGCTGCCCATACCTTCAGACACAGTAAAAATCAAACAAAACAAAACAGAATAAAGCCCAACACAATAAAACAATGAAAATGATACAAGACTTCAAAACAAGAGACTAGGGAATTAACAGTGGCCACCACCTTCAGAAGGAGATTCCCCAGAGATGCCACACTGCTTACCATGATCCTCTGAGTAGATGATCAGATTACCAGCATTAGGCCTGCAAAGTCAGTGAAGCACTAAACACTACAAGCATTAAGTTGTATTTTACCTCAATAGCTATCATCGCAGCCTGTGTTTCTCCAGATCAGCCGGTCGCTTACAACCATGGGGTGGGCTTGGTTCTTCTTGTTTCCCAGCCCACACACCAGACAGGGCTGGCAACTAGCTCTCCCCCCAGCAGCCCACACATGGCACTGGTTCACAGTGAGGGTTTGCATCTTGGTGACTTCTTGTTCTCTTCCCCCGTAGTCTGTGAATGACAAAGTCTCATGAGAAAAGGCTAGCATCTGGCTGTCCCCTCAGCAGCAGCCCATGTGAGACACTGATTCACAGGGAGGGCTTGCTTCTTATTCTCTTCCCATAATCTTTCTTTTTCTTACGTTCTTTCTTTTCTGTTCCTTTGAGGCATACATTAGAAAGTCTATTTATTCTTCGGGTACAAGGAGACATGAACACTAGAGACAGACTCTACAGAAACTGATCTTTGGTCTCTCATCACTTTGGTAAGCTGAGGGAATGAAAATGAAAAGGAAACATCTTCTTCCAGGTCCACTTGTCTTAGTTATTTTTCTCTCATTACTGAGACAAAATACTCAACACCCAAAGTTAAAGGAGGAAAGGTTTGCTTTGGCTCATGGATGTTTCAGTCCACAGTTGGCTGCTCCAAAGCAGGGTAGCATGGCGGGGGGGCATTGCAGAGAGAAACAGTTCATAGCATGCAGAAGGCGGAAGGCTCCAAGCACTAGCAGCAATAGCAGCTGCTTTCTCTCAAGGCTACCTGGTTTAGGGCAGGTGCCAAACCAACCAGTGAACTAATTTAGTAATCACGTACCATTAATCCCAGCATCCACATTCTAGATCCAGCCACCTCTGAAAGAACTCTACCTATGACAACATGAGGCTTTGAGGGGACATCTAGACACAAGCCATTACAGTGAGGCTCACAGAATGAGGGTCAGAGAAGGCCGCAAGAGGCCACTAGACCTAGTCCAGCCTGTACCTTCATCACCTACCTCGTTCCTCCAGATTGCTCTTCACCTTTCCTTAATCTCCAGGCTTCTTAATGTATCATCACATTTACACTCAAGTAGCTTGTCCTGTGTTGAATGGCAAAAATGAAGCAAAGCACATATGAGTTGCTATAACCGGTTGTAGTAGTACATGCCTGTAATCTCAGCACTTGGGAGGCTGAGGCAAGAAGATCATTAAGAGTTCAAGACAGCCTGGGCTACAAAGGGAGCTCAAAGGCCTGACCTGCATAGCGAGACCCTGCCTCAAAAAGACAAAAATAGAAAGAAAAAGAAAAAAGTTGCTATAAAACATGTAGCACACATGTGCTGTTGAGCTTTTTTTCCTAACTCATCTACTGTCAGCCGTTTACGTGAGGTGCACAAGAAAATGGCATGCAATTTGGAGTCCAAAGTTTCAGACCTGTGTTGGTTTCTGCTAAGACACACGACCTGGATGGACATCAGGTTTTCACCCCTGAACATGGGAGATGTGCTCACACCATTACAAGGATGGGGAAGTGGTGAGTATAAGAGTAAGTATGATTGCAAAAATGCATAAAGACATTAATAATAACATACACTGCCGTGAATGGTGTTGAAAAATATTTCTCTACATTATGGATCACAGGCCTCTCTAAGTGTATTTCTCAACTGAAAGGAAGGAAGTTACTACTGTGGCACCTTACAAAGAACAGAGCTCCGAGAATGAGGCACTCTGGTTCCTGGTGTTCGGGCCTTGACTTGTCCTGAGTGAAAGGAGAAGCTGAGGGAAAGACCCCTGCACTCTTTGCCCAGCCGGCTCTGGGACGCAGAGCCACTGCTCTGAGCTCTTAGGAATCTCTACCAGGCACAGTTCCTTCACCCGAAAAGGGAAGGGATTGAGCCAGACGTCATGACTGTGGCATTTTCTGTCTCAGAATTTAGAGAGTCCCAGCAACTTGCCCCTTCTCATTACAGTTCTCCGGGTTGCTCTTAGCAAACCACAATTTGGCTTCCAGGCTGTGGCCTCTTCTCCTGTCTGCTTTTGCTGCTGCCCACTCACAAGGACCAAAGAACAACGTGGCACAGCAAGCCAATCCTTCTGCAAAGAAGCCTGATGCACAGTGAGCTGGAGCTGCTCGCTTATTTGCCTTTCCCAGCCCCGAGTGGCCCTTGCTCAAGTTCTGTTCCTCCAGAGCAGCACATCTGCAGTCTCTCGGAGGTGGGGATGGGCTGCAGACTCCCCTGCACTCTCCTGCTGCCAGGAATATCTCTTTGGGACTTATTTCTTCAGGGTTCAGGTAAAATGCCTCCTCTAGACCAATCAGCTTTTCCTTATTTCCAGAGCACTTCTTTGCAGCTGTTACATTGCTCACTATGTAGCCCAGGCTGATCTGCAACTCAAGGCAGTCCTCCTGCCTCAGCCCTCCAACTGCTGGGATTACATGTGTGCGCCACCTCAGCAAACTAGTTTATCTTCTTAAACTGTTGCTTCTTATCTGTTGTCCAGTGAGGCCTGGGGACCTTCTAGACTTCACTGCACCGTTGTTCTGTGAACAGACCACCAATGAAATGAGTGCCCATGTGAGTTTTCAGCTCAGGTGGTAGCACAGCACTGGGGGAGGCTGATGAAGGAGGATCACAAATTCAAGTTCAGCATGGGCAACTTAGCAAGACCCTGTCTCAACACAAAACGTAAAAAAGGGACTGGAGATGTAACTTGGCACAAAGGGCCTGAGTTCACTCCCCAGTGTGGCAAAAAAGGGGGGACCTTCAGATACTTACTCTTCCTCCAAGGTTTTATTTCAATTTATTCATTAAAATCAAAGTTTGGTATCAGTCTCTGAAGGGCTCTGACTTCCTAGTCACCCTAGAGTATTATCATTGCCAGAATTAGTAATGACAAATCTCTGGAACAAATGAGCAGGTGTGACCCTCGCAGGCTTCACTGACCAAGAAGTTTCATCAGATCCAAAAAAAGGCAGGAGTATAGCTCAGTGGTAGAGATTTTGTCTTTCATTACATGAAGCCAGAGATTCCACTCCTAGCATAAGAGAGAGAGAGAGAGAGAGAGAGAGAGAGAGAGAGAGAGCCAGAGAGAGAGCGCCAGAGAGAGAGCCAGCCAGGCAGACAGGCAAACAGAGACTCAGAGACAGAGATAGAGACAGAGAGACAGAAACGGTGACAGCGACAGAGACAAAGAGGTCAGGTCCTGACTTGGCCACTTGCTAGCCATGTTACCCACCCTATCAAGGTGCTTAGCATCTCTAAGCATCTGCTTTTCCTAGAACTGAATCGTAATACTATACCTACCTCCCAGGGAGACTTCCAATAATGTGGAACTCCTAGCACAGAGCCGGATATAAGGAGGTGGTGGTCAGCCAGGGGGAAACAAGACTCCCTTTTTGAAGGGTACTACACCTCCTTGAGGGTGTTCCTGGAAATGGCAGGAAATTCTTAGGTACCTAACAAAGACTCAGAGAGGTTAAGGCATTTGCCACAGGGGTTCTGCAGTTAGAGTATGTGCCTCAGGCTTAAGCTAGGATTTCCTTGCTTCACTGCAAATGCTCCTTCCACAGCCATGCACAGGAAAGAGCAGAAGAGACTTGTTTGGGCCTTGGTGAGAAGAGACCTGGGACTAAAGCAAAGGATACGTGTTCTAGGGAGGAGCAGTTCATAAATAGGTGGACAGATGGTTAGAACCATTTTGCTAAAGAAGAGAGTTCATATAAAAGTAGCAGAAAACAATGGAATTAAGGGCAAGTGTATTCTGGAAGGCCTTGACTGTCAAACTGAGAAATTCAGAAGGATGTACTATGATTCACAGGAGCAGAAAGATGGTCAAAAGCTTCTAAATCAAGACTCAGCTGGTCTGGTTAAAGAAACAAATGCTTACCATAGAAAACAAGTCTTCTAGAAGGGAAAAAAGTGTTTCCCAGACTTGGGGAAAACACGATGCCTGTTGAATGGAAGAAATAGTGTCATTTTATATGGGCTTGGTGAATAGCTGATGGTAAGAAGATACAGTGAGGATCAGTGGGGAGAAGCTATAGGGTGCTCAATGTTTTCAGTTCAAAAGAGGAAGCAAGCTCAGTCTGGGAACCAGTGCCATGTACAGGCCATCACGGGACTGGAACAGCTAGACCCCAGCCTCTTTCTGTGAGTCAGCACCGTTTGTGGACCAGGGGTAGAGAGAAGAAGGCCACACCAGGAAGCAAGCCCAGTCTGGGAACCAGCGCCATGCACAGGCCACTGCTGGACTGGAACAGACAGACCCCAGCCAAGAAGTACCAATTCCCCACCCCCACCCTACTGGTTTATCCGGAGAAACACAGGCTGTGATGACAGCTATGGAGGTGAAACGCAGTAGGATGCCTGTGGTGCTTTGGTGTTTCACTAACATTGCAGGTCTAGGGCCAGTGGTCTGAGCATAGGTTCAGAGGACAGCAGTACACAGTATGGCATCTAGGAGATCTCAGCCATTGTTGATTCCCTATGATTTGTTTTGAAGTCCTATATCATTTCCATTGTTTTGTTGGGTTGGGTTTTATTCTCTTTTGTTTTGTCTGATTATGTCAAATCTGATGGCAGGAGCAGCTATTTCAAAGATAGCAAGAAATATTTGGCTAACAATTTTGGACTTATTATTGGCTTGTTTTGAAGTCTTATTACATCCATTGTTTTGTTTTTATTGTTTCTATTCTGTTTGATTTTTACTGTGTCTAAAGTTATCTGCAGCTATTTTGAAGACATCAAGATGCATTCTGGTAACTACTGCTGATTTTGAAATGTTTTGAAGTCCTGTATCTCTTACATTGGTTTGTTTTGTTTGATTTTATTCTGTTTTATCCTCTTTAAAATAAATTTTTTTTAAAAATGAAGAAGAATTTTTTGGTCCTTTCAATGCACTTTAATCTGAGTTTATCAGGAGGCCTCTCTACGTCCTGAGCATGGTACTAAGAACTGGGAAGGGGCTCAGAAGGAGTCCCAACCACCCTAGAACTCAGTGTGCAGCCATAGCTGCTGTCATTCAGTCCAGGCTGTCTTGAGAGGCAGAAGTTCTTTCCTCTTCAGGGTCCTCAAGAGCAATCTGTCAGGGGAGGGGCCCTGGGCTGGGGGATCACTTGGACTGGACAACTCCTCATGAGCCTGTGCCTCTTCGTGTGTTGTGAAACCTTTAGAAGTCCTAAATCCTTTAATTAGAGGGAGAAAAAAGGTAAGTGATCAATTAGCTTCTCTTTTTAAAAGCCTGTGCTTGCATGCCCCATCTTAACTGGAGTCTGAGATGTAAAGCGTGTAGCCAGGCAGGAATTTCATCCTGTCTGTAGCTAAGTGACTCCACCTATGGACTGAAAATCATTTAGCTGACATTGTGACACAGCCAGTAAATTACAGTCTGCCTGCAGGTGGAGGCCGCAACTGGTGTCATGGCGTAATCTTCCAGGAACTAACATTCAGTCGACTAAGGCCAGCTGGCGGGGCAGTGGTTCAGGGGGACAAGGGCCCTGACGTCTGTGTGACACTCACCTGTCTCCAGAGGAGCCTCCTTGCTCTACCGTACTTTATCGTGATTCTGAACCTCACTGCAGCCCTGGGGATAGTGGGTCAGGTCCACGAGGACACTGAGGTCCAAGGAAATGAGAGGGTTTGGCTGAGGCCACACACTGAGGCTACAGTGTCTGGTTCTGAATGTGAGTCTTCTGAATCCAATTTGTAATATTTTTCTACCTCATCAGAATAGGGTCAAAGCCGAGCAGCTACAAATCCTTCCAAAGGAAGATCACATAGTCAGTGGTCAGACACCAGTGTCCAAACTTGTGGGTCTCCCTTGCAAAATATGTAGCACTTGGGTTTGTGGGTTCCTTAAGGATGATAGTGAATACTAACTTCTTACACTGTGCTGTTCCATGCTGTGCTAATTAAGAAGTTTTATTCATTGACTCCTTTAATGCTCATAGCAATTTCTCTTTGGTTTTACAGATAAGGAGACAGAGGCTCCGAGAAGAGAGGTAACTTAGCAGAACCATAATCTATGTAACCTAGGTCAGCACAACCTCAGGCTTCTCTCCAATTGCAGTGCCATCTACTGTCACCTTGGCAAGTTACTTCGGCAGATCATTGAAGTGATGTCCAGGGTCTGGTTCCTCTTGGCTCCCAGGCCAACAATAGTACCAGTAATAATGAGCACAATGACCCTGAACATTGCAGGCCCTGCCCAGAGTCACAGCTGATGCCGTCACAGGAGCCAAAGCCACCTTCAAACTTCCTTGTCTGGATTCAGGGCTCTTGCCATTCCCCACCTCTCTCTTCTGGGAGAAGTGCCAAGACACATTCCCAAGAGCCACCAAGGCTTGGGAGATATTGAGCTCCCCCTACGCTAGGCAGTAGCCTCAGAAGTGAAGCAAACAGGCTGCAGAATCACTTATCTGTGGTAGGGAAGTCGTGGCTATGTAACCTCGGGTTAACACATAAGATCCGCCTGTACCACGGTACTGTTAATAGTACCTGTGTCAGGTGTTGAGGAGAACATGAGAAGAGGGAGCCCGCACCTGCTCACAGTGAGCACAGAAGGAATGTAACTATGATCCCTATGCTGACAGGGATGGATTGAGTCACTTATTCAAGTGTGTGCATTTCTGCCCTGGGTTCCTCCGTGAGGTCCTGAGGAAAAGGTTAATAACAGAAGCCACTTGTACTTCCACATGGCATCTTTCAGTCTAGGACTGCAATGCATTCATTGAACAAAAAAAAAAAAAAAAAAAAAAAAAAAACCAGCACAGTGTAATATGTATCTTAAACACTCTTAAATCTTTCTCTCCCTTTTTTTATGGAGGTAGGAATTTGGGGATTAAATCCAAGGTCTTGTGCATGTTAAGCAAGCACTCTATTACTGAACTACATCCCCAGCCCCATGATACATCATAATTGAGTTTCATAAATGTGCAAAAGTCTATGAGAGCCCGGAGCACAGAAAAAAGAACATTGACTCCTTTTCCAGTTTTTCCAAGCCAGCAGCCTGCCCAGTCTTGCCTTGTCAAGATCTAACATTCCCAGCTTCTCCCTACAGGCACAACCTTCCCATCTATCCTCGCTCCCTACTCCAACACCCAGGGAACCTGGAGACATTTCTGTGTCAAGATCTTTGTAAAATTACTTGTTTTCCTTAATATTAACTCTCTTGTCTATCATAGCAAACTGTACCACTTGTAAACATCCATAATAAGATTTTTGGTAAAGCCTACCTCCTTAAAACCACGCAAGCAAACAAACAAATATGGAACATTAGAAGGCCACTGTCATACTCATCATTCTTAACCACCAGAGAAGATCAGTGACTTCCACTGCAGGCTTAGAAAAAACACATGACAGGGCCAGAGGACCAGAGGACCAAAGGCTGAAAAAGAGAGGTTTTCCTCTTGTCTGGACTCAAACTGCCTTCCAATTTCAGATGACCCCTGGTTCAGCCAGTGGGGCTCCCAAATTCACTCTCTCCGTGCATCATTGCCTCAGAGTACCCCACGGCTTTGTGCGTGTGAAGAGTAAGCACAATCATCCCCGTTGAGAAAAAGATTTTCAAGCCCCGGCTGAGGGATGAGCCCTCTCCCACCCTGCCCCAGATACAGAAATTCCAAGCCACCAGTTAAATGTTTTTTTTGCTTACCACAACCCTGAAAAACAATGTGCCTCACTACCCTAGTGCAAGTGGGAAACAGAAATATATGTGCACTGTGAGAAAAGACTTCACTTGTTTTGCTCTGGGTTCTGCAGGGATGCTTCCTTTATACAGAGGGAACTTGCCACTTTCAAGAAAAGCATGTCATCATTTCCTAAACCCTATCATCCAGAAACTTGTTCACTTAAAGAAAACCATAAAAGCAAAGTATCTCATTTTCTTATCCCACCTCCCCCCACCTTTTCCTAAGCTAGCCTTGCACAAGCACGATGACCTCCCATTGGGTGACAAGCATGTCGTAAGTGAAACGTTTACAGGCACTACAGGATTGACCTGGTGCCTCACCCACCTCATTAGAATTCTAATTAGTGTGTGTAGGAGAGGCTTCTATAAATGGTCAGACAATCCTGACACCATCCTCAAACACCAGCTCTGTCATTCCCAGACAAGCCCCAGGAGAGGCAGAGGAAGCAGGACCATGAGTGGTGAGTGTGTCGCACCCTCCAGCAGACCCTTGCTGGAGCCAGTGTGGTCCCCAGCCGGTCTGTGAGGCCAAGGCGGCTGGCTCGGAAGTCTAGATTTCAGTGTTTCAGGGTTCTATTGCAAAGTGGCTCTTTGGGTGGCAGCTGAGTCTTCCTAGCACATTCCAGAGGTGGCACAAGCTTGGAATGTAGTTTTGAGTGGCTGGTAGAGTGTCAAACACAGTTAGAGGTGATGTCCCATTAGACTGAGAATGAGCTTGCCTCAGTGAAGCTTCTTTTACACATTGGTCAGCCCCTGTAAAGTCAAACCAGAGGGCATCTGCCCCAAGTGTTTCTTGGTGTGGTTTTACCAGCTGCTATAGCAAAGAAAAGCACATCCCAGAGATGTAAGGGGCAAAAGAAAAAGAGCCTGTAAGCTGAGCTGTAAAAACCCTTGGCATCACTGGAATGTTCCCACGTAAACTACACATTTGGAAGCATAGGAGGTGGCGTGATGTGCCAAATCCTAGTGGCAGGAGCGGCAGGCACTCCACAAGAGCCTCTCCATCCCTGTCGTTGTCCCTTTGAGGGAAGAGTGAGAAAGAACAAGAAAGGCAGGTTCTTTAGCTCTGTGGGCACTGTCAGTTACTGTCCAAGATTCGAGCCCTTTGTTAATTAGCGCCCCTACTAAGTAGCCTGCTAATTATTGCCTGTCATGGGTTTTCAGACTAGAACATTGACAGCAGCGACGCCAAACCCCACAGGGCATGAGTCAAACCTGTAAAATACCATGAATGGTGATTTTGGACCACAGAAAGGTTTACCAAAGATATGACTGAGCCAGGTGCAAAAGATGGAATGCTGACTACTTAAAAAATCGCTGAAACTACTATGACAGGGTGGTTACAAAAATGATTCTTTTCCTCCAGTAAATGGACAGGATACCAGCAAGAAGTTGGTACTCTGGGCACTGCAGACTTTATCAAAAGCAGATGGGGGTGCCTGTTATCTGGCCCTTTTCTCTCCCCTCAGGGGGAAACAGTACCAGAAACAGGTAAAGCCTTGCCAGGATTACACAGCAAGTTGGTAGCAGAGCCCAGTCAAGCCCCAGCTACTGTGGAACTTTTCCACTGTATTTTGTTGCCAAACCTGAGCTCACACACAAGTTCATAAGACGTCTGGAATACAAGAAAGCAATTCTGAGCATGCTTTCTTATTTGAGCTTTTGTTACCAACTGCTATGGAGTTTACTGCCACTACTGTGCCTCTTCTAAGACGAAGGGATTTAAAGAGGTGGACGTAGAGGCTCTTTCTAAGACTGGTTCTGCTCCATGCAAGGTCACTGGGGCCCCAGCATGTGATCAATCCCCAGATATTTGTGCAGAACCTACAGTGGGGCCACAAGAACATTGACACTTAAGAGGCCCAGGCATTCATAGATACTGAACTCTTAGAACCTCATCTATACTGACCAGAGGTATCCTCAGGTCACAACAGAATGAGGACAATGGCTGGTGGGGAGAAAAATCAAATTTTAAAAAGTAAGTGGAGAGGCAAGTGAATGCATTTAGTTCCTTAAATTCACCATATATGCAGTCAGTTTCTGTCTCGGCTCCTGGACCCTCAGGGTGTCACACTCCATGGTAGTCCTAAGAAATAGCGATGTGCCCCAGCACCATGGGGAACGTGGAGCAGATGAGTTGCAGTTTCTGCTCTCAGTGAGCTTTCAGTCTTGGTGACACCAGTCATTAGTAACATGCAAGGTGAACTGTCATCAAGCTACATGACAAATTCAGGGAATTAACCCTGGCTGGAACTCAGGATATGGAAGGCTTTTGTCATGGAGGGTGAGCTGGGCTTGGTCCTTAACAGTTTGTGGGATTGGAAATATTCTGGACAGGGGAACAGAAAACTAAATGTGGCTGCATTGGCAGATGTGACCCAGGCAACAGTCTGGATGATGTGGGTACTGCTTTGGGAGGACCCTGTGTCCAGCTCTAATTTAAAGCCTTGTTTGAAACAGAGGGCTCCAGCTATTCTGCCCATTAGGAAAGAAGGTGGCCTCGGCTATGGACTAGATGACAGTGTGGGAGGAAGTCCTGCTGTGTCTTGCGCAGTGGCACAGAGCCTAGAGTGAACAGGAGCACAGCCGTGAGCATAGATGCCGGGACCCCTGGAGAGGAAGCAGAGATCCCCACTCCGAGCCTCTTCAGTCAGTCCTCAGGCACCAACCCGAACCTCAGGACACTCCCTGTGAAGACCCAGAACTCTGTTCTGGGCACGAATAGTCCCACTGAGGTTGTGAGCATTCTTATCAAACACTTTGTCAGGCATAGCACTGGCCTTGGCTTCCTGGATTCACCTTCTCTGGCCTTCATTTCCTCCGCCTCCACAGGGCTCATCACATTGCAGGCCTGTGGCTCTGCCACCAAATATTTTCTCTGGAGCTGGGACAGCAGTGGCTCTTTCTTCCATGGGAACAGAGAGGAATTCCTCCTGCACCCCTGCCTCCTTATCTCAGGACCGCTTACAGGATCTTCTTGCTCTCCTCACATTTGTGTTTCTGCTTAGCATCACTTAGGAACAGCTGTCATGAGCCTGTCTCCCCCTTGCTTGGGTTCATAAGATAAACCTCATGAGAGGAGTTGACTTTCTAATTGGGATGATTCCCATTAGGAGCCTTTCTAGCACAAGTGCCCTATCGCCCTCACCAGCCCCCTCCATGCATCCTTAGATCCCGTGCTCTTTTTCTCTTGTCTACTTCAGATGACTTCCTGTGCTCCCTCCAGCCTGCAGGGCTCTGCTCTGCACACAGGCAATCCTGCTCCTCCTCTCCCCGTCTTTCTTCCCCTCCTCCCCCTCCTTTTCCCCTCTTCCTCCTCTCCTCCTCCTCTCCCTCCTCTCTCTCCTCCTCTTGCCACCCCCCCACTCCTAATTCTCCTCCTCCATTTTGTCCTCCTTCTCCCCAGGGTCCACATGCCAGGCTGGGGTGTGTGCTGATAGTAGGAGACTTCCCCTGTCACTTGGAAGGGGACCATAGTCCAGGTTTGGGGTTTTTCTGTTGCTTGTTTGGCTGGGTGTTTTTTTCCCCTTATTTCTTTCTTCTTTGCCAGGAAGAGGGTTAATCTTTTGATGCTAAGGACCAAACCCAGGACCTTGTACTTGGTAGGGAAAACACTCTACCAGTCTTTGGTGAGGGCTAGAGCTATTTTTAAAGGAGGCTGCTGTCCCCTCCTGTAGCCCTATTTTCCCCTGCGTGGGTGGATAGCATGAGAGGACAGTGGCTCCTCCCTCGCCCCTCCCAGAGCCACTGTGCATCTCAGCTGAATTGTAAGAGGACACCAAGGCCTGAGGTACTCATTCTCAGTACTGGCTGCACGTAAGAATCACCAGGAGAACTTAAAAACAAATTCCAGGGTAGCCCCTAACCCAGATGCTGGTTTAATTGATCTGGGTTGGACTCAGACTCAGACAAGACTCTCCAAGCGGTTGTGCCAGCAGCTGTGGTTTCAAGCCACTAAGAGATTCTAAACTCTCTTCGGAAGGGAAAGGATGAGGAGTCCCAGCCGCCCTCCTCTCACCCCGGCAACATACTGGATGGGCAGGGGACGGCCCTTTCTGGCAGCCTCCATGGACTGCATGTGAATCACTGCCACCACAACCATTTGATGGCTGCAGGGAAGTAACTGGATCATCCTAATCAAGCAAAGTTATCTTTTCTCTGGACTTGGATTCAGGTCCTGTCTGCTTGTGATGTTGGGCAACTGGCTTCACCTTATTAAAGTTCTAAATCCTCATCTGTAAAATGGGTATAACAACAACATAAAAGGACATGATGCATGTAAAATACTCGTAGTGTAGTGTCTGGCGTGGAAGAGGGCCTCAATGGCAGGCACCTCAAAAAAATTCAAACCCTCCTCTCCTCATGTTGTTTTTGCCATTATACTTTTTACCCCATGGCCTCTGTTCTATCCAACCCTGGAGGCCCCAGGGCTGGGAGGAGTAGAGCTGGGTTCTCAACAGTAACCCTACGTGACAAGAGGTTCCAGTCTAACTGTCCCCTTTCTAGGGACAAGGGAAGTCACCTGTCCAGGGTTTATTTCACTTCATCTTAGGGAGTGTCCCCAGGTCCTTCCTGTTGGCCAACAGCCCCAGGTTTCCCACTGGCTGAGGGCCAAGAAATTATGCCACTTCTGCTACACAGGCTTGAAAGTGTTGGGACAAGAGCGAAAGCTGACAGGAAATGGCACAGGCTGGAAGGAGAGGAGTGGGAAGCTGGGGCCAAGCAGGGATTCAAGTGTACCCCCAGAGCTTGTATGGGGCGGCCAGGATGCGCCTGTGCCCGGGGAAAGGGTAGGGTGTGGCACTGCGTGAGTCACCATCCTTCCCTGACTGTGACTGGATCTGGGGCATGCTCTGCTTCTAGAGTACTCTGTCACCTCAGCAGATTGATCTCAGTTTTGTAATATGTGATATGGGAATATTGAGTTCTGTCACTATTTTTCAAGTTGCCAATTGTTCCTATCAGAAGACTGTAAAGTTAGCTTAGTATTAAAGTAACCTGTGTGTGTGTGTGTGTGTGTGTGTAATGAAGTAATAGAGAAAATGTTAAAATATATTCTGCATAGTTGAATTGGAATTGTTTCATGAAATTTTGTGTTAGTTAGCATATATGTATACGAACAGTGTGTAAAATGTAGTCTCTGTCACACAGAGAGCTCAAGCCACGGGTGGAGGTACATGCTTGTAAAGCCTGCACTCTGAAATGGTGAGCCAGGTGTGCAAATTCAAGCACAGCCTGGGCAATTTAGGATGACCTTGTTTCAGAATTTCAAAACAAAATTTAAGGACTGCATACATAACTCATTGCAAAAGTCCTGCATTCAGTCCCCACAACTAAAAAAACAAACACCAAAAAGCCACTTAGGTAGATGATATTTAGCATTTCAGTCAACTGTAATTATCTCTAGACATCTGTAAGGTAAAAATACATCTTTGTCCTGAAAAGGGACTGGCGGGGGTCC